ACACAGAGAATGATAGCTTGAGGAAATTGTACTGTAATCCTTGTGAGACCTGACACAGGTTTCTGCTTCACAACCTAAACCAAAGTATCTTAGTCGATTTGATACATGAAATAGTTTCACCCTGGGATGCTCTGACTTTCTAAATCAACACCTTTTGTTTCTTTTTTTTTTTTTTTTTTTGGAAAAAAGCCTGTAAGTAATATATATATATATTTTTTTTTTAGAGCTTTCGTAAAAAATAGGAAAAATAAAAGGGCTAAACAGCTAGCTAACTAAATTTGCAGGTAGGCCCAAAAATGTATGATGAATATCAAAGGTCAGGGTACGTGATGGATGTCAGTTAAGCAGCTTTTGTTTCCTAAATTGGTTTTTCATGACTGTTCTGTTTCACACCTTATTGTGCTGTATCCTGAATTACAAGATGCTGTTTAACTACTGGTCGCAACAGGAAAATGTGATGGATTTGTCATTATACAAAAGTGCATCCAAAAATGTCACCAATTGTAATTTTGTCATTGTTCTCCTTTTTGTAAAATTTCAGTATACTTGGAATATGAAAGAACTTTATGTCTATTGACCCATTTTTGACTTGTACAAAAGTTTCAACAAAAGTTGCTTGGGCATAACAAATGGTTTTGTTTAACAGAATTTTGCTTTATTTCCACTTAAGCAGGTTCTAAATACGCGGAAGATAAATGATAAATTATCTTTGTTGCACTGGAATTAGCAGTGTCGTCAGAATGATAGCAATATCATCGCTATAAATTGGAAGATGGACAATGATTTTTTCTAACTTAATTTCCTGAAAATATGTTTAAATCATTATCTGAGGTATGTGTGAGTGCCAAAAATCATGCTGTATGAAATACTGAGAAAAAACCATGTCAAAATGTTAAGGCATAATAAAATGATACATTAGACTTAGAAGTAAATATATGATTCTCTTTTTAAAAGCAATATTTTGCTGCGTTCAGATAAACCCTTTTGAAAAATCTCTGTACAAAAAATCATTATTATCATGAATACTGGCCTGGAACATTAGAAAGAAATTTGATTCCGAAATGTCAAAATGTACTGTTTTTACTTTTAGAACCAAAGTGTTTTTGCTTAGCTCAACTCAGCTTGACCTGTATGCACTGAATGTACCTGTGATGCCTGTGCTGCCCAAATACTGTGATTCAAGTGTCTTTTGCTCTCTTTCTTCTCTGTGGCTTGTACTCCAGTGTTAATCTATAGCTCCTCTGAAGCTCTGTTTCAGAGTTGCAGGACAGAATGGTATCACAGAAAAGGCCATCTAAAGAGAGAGAACAACACAGAGAATGATAGCTTGAGGAAATTGTACTGTAATCCTTGTGAGACCTGACACAGGTTTCTGCTTCACAACCTAAACCAAAGTATCTTAGTCGATTTGATACATGAAATAGTTTCACCCTGGGATGCTCTGACTTTCTAAATCAACACCTTTTGTTTCTTTTTTTTTTTTTTTTTCTGAAAGAAAATTAAAACTAGAATTTTCCTGTACAAACCAGCAGTTTTAAGGAAACTACATTTCCCACTGATAAATGGGAAAAAAAGTATCCTGAGCCACTGTACTTAAAACGTGATGTTCCAAATGATCGTTTATTGTATTTTTTCAGTGCCATTCAGAAATTATTACAAACATATCTTTAGTATTTTTATTTATGAAAACACAATAACACTGTAATATTAATTTTATTTTAAATAGAATGAAAATGGTGCATTTGGTTACTGAATAGTGAGGAGCATTTGAATTATGCAGTTATGTTAATTCAAGCAAAACAGTAGACTTTTTTTTATTTTTGCTTAAATTGTGTGGTCTTTTCATATTACAGGTAGTAGGTGCTGCTCACAACAGTTTAAATATCTTATTTATTACCACAAAATCAGGACTGAGTAAAAAGAATCAAAACCTGCAGTTCAAATTCAGACAGTGTTCCCAAGATAGAAATCTAATGAGACCCTCAGCTTGTGGCTCTGTTTTCTTGCACGGCAGTGAACTTTTCATGCTGCCAAGATCTCAATGAGCCTGTGAAAATTGTAGGATCCTGCTCTACAAAACCCAAGTAAAAAAGGAAAGCCATAGATTCGGTGTTGCACACTGCTGACACTTTAATAAGAGTTTTTTGCTTGAATGGTTTAGAGGAGGATTAATATCACTACTCAAAGTTGTCCTTCTTTCCCGAAAACCATTCATTCTTCATTATTAAACAACATGATTAAAGGTAGACAGCAAACGGGCTTCTAAATTACAACTGAAGTAAAAGAAACAAAACTAATGTCTGTTAGTCAGGATTAAACTATATGCTATTTTTTAAGAATAAAGCTAGAAAAAGAATTTGCACAGAATTTTTAATGAACCGAGTATTTGTTCACATCTTCAGATACATTTTTCTTCCACAACTTGCAGTAACCTAAAAATGTCCACATATCACTAAGAAAACAATTTTAAGAAAGTTTGTAAAAATTACACAGCAATAGAAATTAATATTCAGAAATGCATTGGAAATGCGCTGAGGGATAATGTTGTGATTGCTGTTTGATGTGAGATACTGATGTAAAAAAATGCTAGAAATCTTTCAAGAAATTGTATTAAATAATACGCTATTTATCTTTAAAAAGTTGGTAAAAGATAGTACTAGAAGTAGACAACCACTACATAACCAAAAGCTGTACTTTGAAAAAACATTTTTTCTCTATTAATTCTTCCCCTTTCTATTTCTAGACATGCAAGAGACCATAGTTAGTTCAGACACTCATACTTCACACAGCATTCCTGTTCAAGAGTGTCACAAAGAATTCAGCATGTGAATCTGAAGGCTAGATATTACTTTGAAGCACAATTAGGAAAAATATTTCTGATTTGTGTAAGATGATTATGGAGATATTTACACAAGACTTCATTTTTTTTACATTAAAAAATATCTCTAATGGGCTTTGGCTATATTGCATAGGCTTTCTAAATGTCCAGGGAGTCATACATACTTCAGTTATTTGCTTTTTTTATGTAAATACGTGGTTAGCAAAATGAAAGGGAGCTTGTCAGTGTTTTAGTGAATTTCAGCACGAATTCTCCAGATACGAAAGGATACAGCTTTATATAGTAGAACCTATTTTCCTTCTTTAAAGAGTGGTTCCAGAAGCCATACTTACAGTTGGTACCTAACGTATTGGAGAGACGAATCCCACTGAAGTCAATGCAATTTTAGTGATACTTAAGATAATCAAGGCTACAGGATGAAGTAAAGATAGCAATACTTCAGATATTATGGAGAGAGCATGTAGCACGCTCAGTTGCTTCAGAAAAAATCTTGAAGCCATGGAAGGGACCCTTTCTCGAGGTAGCCTTGGAGTTGATGATGACTCCTGGGGATTACTGGTGTCAATGGCTGTGGCATTGACTCAGAGGGCACTGCAGGTTGTCTTTTGACAGTGGATCTAGTTGCATTTCCGAAAGCATCTTTTAAAAAGGCTTTTCCTGATATCAGACTCAGAAACTTGTCATCCAGTTCTTCTGAGATGAGTTAATCTGGATATGCAACTGGAAGTCTCTTCTCCATTGTATAGAGTGGGAGGTTCACAGACAGCTCTTAAACTTCTCACTAACCTACCCATCAAAGCTGAAGAAGCAAGATTTGAGGGAAAACTACTGATTTGGTGGTCTAGCAAAAAAAGCTAGTCCCTTTGTACAACTATTTTATTTACACTGAAGCGATGTTGCGTACGCTCTGGTTACTATACATATGATACAGAAGTAAAATGAGATAGATACTATATTTCAGTATTTTGCTCCTTCAGATCTTATTCTAATCCACGTTAAGGTATTATTTGAATAACAGAGTCCAGTAGAGCTGTTTTTGTGGGAAAATAAAAGCCAGATTTAATTAAGATTATAGAATCATAAAGACTTTTTCAATTAACACATTCAAATAAACTTTCAAAACATCAATGCAAAATACATTGACATATGAAATAACAATTCTCTACATCGCTTATTAGCAAATTTATATTGCTCCCAAGTGTTTTTTCTTTTCATGAAGGACTTCAGCTACCAGCGTCAGTGATACAATACTTGCTACTGCCTCCCCACATCACAAAGCTTCTAAGACTTTATTTTCTTGTCAGTATTAGAAAAGAGATCTGGCATGGTATATTATAGCCCTCTTAATATAACCTGACATTGGAGACTTAAATGGTAGTCATAATTCGGCACAAAAATCTGACTGTGAGCTCCTGGTTGTCACTGAAGTCCTTTTAGATTTAAGTAAAGCTGTAACGGTAATGGAGAAAAGATGAAGCCAACCTCTTCCTGGGTGACAGTGTCAACGCAGCAGCGCCAGCTGTGGCGAATTGCTGGTTACGCTCCTCGCCATGGGAGTAACAACATGGCAGGCCGTGGCAGAGTGTTTGTTTTACTGAGAACTTCAGAAGGCGATGAAAATGTATTGTGTTTATATGATTATTATTTATAACTATTGCCAGTGATGGGAGAAATGATTGAAAGTGCTGTTTTGTAGCGCTCCTTGAATTACATGCAAAGTGAAGTGATGCATTTGAAAGTGCTTATTTATTTATTTGACTAATTATTAATTACATTCTTTTCCTGTCTTGTCAGTGAGAGGCTGTTAGCCCAAATCTACTTATTGTGGGAGATCACTCAGCAGTACAGTATTTTAACACTTTTTCATATGACATTAATTCATGCTGATACTGTATGCACACAAGGATCCCCTCTCACTGCTCCGCTCGGTAATCAGATCTCTCTCCAAAAACATTAGTATCTGTTTGTACACTTGTAGTGCTAGGTGGAGAGAAAGAAATAAATTTAAAGCTAACTTCAACTTTCCCTTCACTGACAAAGTCCTGTGTTTGACCTTGAAGCGGGGCACCCTTCGGAGATCCTCACACAAGTAGGAATCCCTGAAACTTTAGCGCTATTTCCTAGTTATAAATAATAACAATATTCTTGATGGGTGGCAGCTAACGAGTGTTGGTGCAAATGGCAATTTTGGCAGGAAGGGGCGTTGGCAGAGGCCTTACTGACTGGAGTACTGCACAGTGCTGTACTTTGTCACTCTTCTCCGGGAGGTGCCGGGGGACGCTGTGCCCATTGCCTGGCCAAGGTGACAGTCAGCGCTGAGCATCTGACCCGTGCTGCTCAGGCCCCCCAGATTTGTCCCCCCCAGGCTTGTCCCCCCGAGGCTGCTCATCCCAGACCCTGACACTACCCTCTCGGTGACCACCACGTTGTGGGTGTTCGATAACTCCGAGGGAATATTTATTAAGCTGCCTGGCATGCCAGAGGCAGGCCTGAACACCCTTTCTGTCACCACCACATTCGACCCATCTACCAAATCGGGAATGCTCAGAGAGGTTGGGAGCCGGGAGTTGGGCGCGATTACTCTTTCCGTGACGATAACGTTGGAACCATCTGCGAGATCGGGGATATCTAGCATGCCACGCAAATCAGAGGCAGATGCAGGACCGACAACCCTTTCTGTTACAACAACGTTGGATGCACGCAGAGGGTCAACGCAAAGAGAGGGGGAGCCGGAGGTGTAGGTCTCAGTCACCGTCATGTTGCCATGGAGCAAAGGATCCGGCATCGGCCTCGGAGGCTGTATGGTTGACCCAGATGTGTAGGTGTTTTCAGTAACAACCGTTGTAGTGCCAACTGGGGGAGGCATAGGTGCACATCCGTTGACAACGATGGTGGTTCCAGGTGGCGGGAGGTTTAGATCACTTTCAGGGTTGGGAAAGGTGACGTTAACGCATGGCCAGGGCAGGTTGACATCAGGGAAAGGTTCGATCTCTTTCCCCAGACAGATCTCTGCCAGGGTCTTAAATTTTGGTCCTAATGTATCCAAATACGTTTCGTCTGTATCTTCTCCAATAAAGCTGCAGCAACCCACAGAGCCAACAGGAGTACCGACTCCTTCATGATCGTATATTAATAGGCAGTCATTTGCCGGCCGACCTTCATCTTCATCTGCATACACAAATGCTTTCTGTAGTTTGCAAAAGCAGGGAAAAAAAAAAAAAGAAAAGAAGAATAGGGTGACTTTTCATCAGGTTTTTAACCATGAAGACTCAAACCACAGCAAAGTTTCCTTAACCTCAGTAAGCCCCAGCTGACTTGAAAAACAGGACATCAATAGGACAAATGATATCATCAACATTTTTGTAACCTTGAAATAAGTTTTATTCAAACGGTACTGATGTTTTATTCTTGTTTCTGCCAACACTTAGCGTCTCAAATTTGGTCTGTTGTCAGTGGGTCTGAGTGTGGGGTGAAGGGAGAGAGCGAAAGGGACGGGGGAACAAATGTGCTCTTTGGGCAGCAATATCTGAACGAAGCGGCAGGAAGAGGAGCGAAACAGGATGGCGAGGGGAGCAGTGGAGAGGCCAGGACAGAGGAGGTGGGACAGAGGGTTGGCCACAGCGGGGAAGGCTTGGTGAGCCCAGAGGGGAATCCATTTTGAGCAGGATGGAGATCACTGATTTGGGATGGCGTTGGGGATGGTGGGGTGGTCAGTGCAGAGGGATCGGGCAGGAAAGAGCAGAATTTAAAGTGAGTGCGGGGTGAGGCTGGAGGAAGCAGGGAAGGACAGAAGGGGAGGCCTGGAGGGGAGAGGCAGATGGTTTGGAGATTGAGATGGTCGGTAGGAGGAATAATCTGTGAAGGCCTATGGCTGGCAGACAATTAATACATAGTGCTCCCAGCCTAGGCAGGGAGATTGCGGTCTGGGAGAAGCCCATGCTCAGGACTTCAGGACTGCTCTGTCCTCTCCTCCATTGAATCTTGTTTAGATTTTGAAATACAGCAATCCTTATATATTAATTGATATTTTGGTGACATATGCAATTTTAGTATTTATGCCTCACAGTTCATGCTAATTATGAAAATATATCCCATTAATCCATTAATTGTGTAAACTCCATAGCATTTTTTTATCCCATATGTAAAGGCTAATTAATATGTTGCCAATTACAAAACTGCATATTTGTGTCACTTGCAGTTCACAAGTCTTTTAGGGAACAGAAATGGCAATAAAAATAAGGAAGAAAGTGAACTGGTGTTCACAGTTCTTTAAGGGTTAAAGTCACTTCATTAAACAAGCCGTACAGGAAGTACGTGTGAACAATTTCATAAAGTTATTATCTATTTATACACTGAAAAAGGTGGCAAATGTATAAATTTGGTGGTCACTTATGAAGCTGAAACAATTTAATTGCTTGCTACCCATACCTGCAGTGCGTCCATCAGTTTTACAAAAAGGCTATTGAGCAGTCAAATCTACTATGGCAGCAGCTCAAAAGCAGTACTACTGGTGTCGTAGTTTTTCCTACTAGTACAGTCAGCTTTGCTCTCACACCAGTCTTATAGCATGGAAGTTTCAATCTGAGTGGAGTTATTTTGGATTTCCACCATGTAACTTGGGGATGAGAATCTAACAGTAGGCTCACAGATATAATGCAAAGAAGATCAGATAATTACCTCAGAGAAGTAGTTGTCTAGGAAGGCCATGTTCACCCCTCCTTCTCGATACTCTTTTATTGTTCCTCCAATTGACCCTTTTACTTCCCCTGTTCCAGAAATTCCTCCAGCTGTTCCGTAACCAGTACCAGTGCCATAGCCAACCCCTGTAGTTTCTTCAACACCAGAAGCTACTACTCCTCCTCCTCCATATGTGTTTGTATATATGTCTGAAAACAGAAAAAGTTATCCTTCCTGTGCTCTGCGAAAATTTACATAGAATTTGCCAGTTATTTTTACAAATAGTACAATGACACTACTGAGTTTCTAAAGGTATTTTAGACTAATTTCAGTCACAGATCCATGCACAGGTGCCAGACATTGAAACTGCAATAAAAATTAAGCGCATATTAGCAGACATCTAAGACCTTGATTTTATTCCTGAAGCTAGGTAGCATGTGCGTATGTGCTTTAGAAAATCAATGATTTACTTGTGTAACTGCCTGGCGAGATTCCTCTGTCTGGTGTACATATATGCTGTCATGGGATTTGCATTAGAAAATCAGATAATGCTTATGGATATTTATGCAAATACTTACATGTATATTCATGATCACATCGGGGTTAAAATTGTTTTGCCTTAAACTCTTTTCTAAAAGAAATAGCTTTGTAACTCCTTTCACATTTTCTAGTCGTTAAGATTGTTAAGGGGGACTTGGGAGAACAACAACGGATCGTAATAACGACCAGTGTTCATAATGCAGAATGAAAATGACCTTTACAATAGATTATGAAGTCATACTTACAGGATTTTATCTTCTCCAGATTTTTTCATATATGATAACAAGGAATGAGTGGTCTTAAATATCAGCATGTAATATAACAAGCCAATTGCATACAAAATGAGTGGTCTTAAATATCAGCATGTAATATAACAAGCCAATTGCATACAGTAGTCTTGACTATGATTACACTAAGAAACATAGGCTAAATTATATTTTTTTTCCCATTTAATCTCATTAACCTCAGTTTATAGAATTTGAACCAGGGGCTTTCACCATAATGGTACTGAACAGTGGAAATAAAGTAAATCACGTGTAAGTTTTAAACTTTTCAATCGTCATGGCAGCAGAACTTCCCTGAGAACTAAGACTCTTAATTCATGTTTATGCCCCAAAATGTTCTCTTTTGATTTTACCTTAAGGATGAGAACATTTTTGAATAATCAATAGTCATCAGAGAAGTTGTCTTGCAGAGTGACATTTCTTCCTGTCAGAAGCTAGTGAAAATGGATCTGTGCCAGCATCCTTCCTTCCTGTTGTGGAGTAAGGAATGGGGAAAAAGAGAAAGTGGCACTGCGACAGCTTGACTTATTCTCTATGGCCATTGAACGCCTGGGGGAACCTTATCTCAGAAGCATAAATTTATTGTGCTATGAACCCGCTTTCTGTCTAGGCTAGTGCGCAAATGGTCAGTAATTAACTGGCTACTTGACAGGTCCTATTCTCCCTTGCGGGAAGCAGAGCCTGGAAACTGGGAAGAACTGAACCTTTCACCACTGAGTTATGAAAGAAAATTTCCTTATTCTGACCTAAAGATTGATTTCTACTAAAGCTGGTGTCTTGAAAAGACCCTCCATTCACTAGCTGGAATGATAAAGAAAAATTGCCTGAGATTTGAAAGCCTTGGCAGATATTTCGAAATAAATGTAGTTTGCAGAAATGAATCTGCTCAAAGGCTCAAACCTCAGATCCTTTATTCATACTGGAAGTCCTACTAGCATCAGTTTGACTATCTGCAGATGTAAGATTGGAAGGGTTGGGTTACAGCTGCAAAACCAAAGTGCTCCTTGAATCAGAAGACATGAAGTTCTGAAAGATAGCTTTATGACGGCACACATAGAAAATTTTAGGATCCGCTTACCAGAGGGTTCACAAAAATCACCGCCTGCAGCTGTTGTTGGGGCAAGAATGTGTGAGACATCCTGGAAAACAACATTTTGACTCCTTGAATGATGACTTTGAAATTCCGTATGAAGACAAAGACTTTGTGAATCATGTTAAGGAATTAGCAGTCTAAACTGTTAACGATAGCTATTAATTACCATCCCCATTAAAAAAAAAGATTCCATTCAAGTTTTTCTTATTGTCAACGTGAAAGGTGATCAGTGAAGATGGTTTGTGTTACCTTGTCCTACTTTGCACTGAAAAAGCTTGCTAGTAATTGTGTTTCAGCAGAGGGAACAGTAACACCAAACTGTTGGCCCAAGCTAACTGAACGCAACTTAAAACACACAAACTCCATCTGCAAATGCTAATTAAGAATCACCTTTCATATCTACCTGTCAATTGTTGACAATGCCAGGCTTCTTTTAGAATATGTCACAGTGCTACAATCACTGTCATGCTTCTAGCCAAATGCAGTCTTTTCTGTAAATATGAGTTACTGCAGGTTTTAGAAACATGGGATGTACTGACCCTGTCTTCAGGCTGTGCACCTTCTATTCCCCATGGATGAATTGCCCCCTCTGTGCATTCAGGTACAGGTTCAAATCCAGTTCCAACTCCACCTGCAGCGCCAGGTCCACAGCCACAACAGTCGCTCATTGACATCAAAATTGGAATCACTTAACAGGAAAGAAACAAGAAACAGGGATTTAGGACATCTCTTCCTCACAGGAATAGCTGCTTTTCCCAGAGGGCAGGTGCTCAAGAACTTTTGAAAATGTGTCTTTTAAAATGTTTCAAACCAAGCAGCCTGCAAGTCTGGCTTTCAGAATCATTAGCTGCTTTTGGAAATGTGTGTATTTGGAAATTCAGAATAATTTGTACTTCTAGTTATAGCAGAGCAAAGCGGGGGTGGAGTAGGGCTGTTACTGCAAATTTATTTCTATACACCCGGGAACAGACTTTGATCTATCTCAGCTGAATGAATATAAGTTGCATACATATGAAAATTAAACAAACAGAACCAGTCTTGCTATGTATAGCATTCAGCGATATTCATTCTTGATACATAAGCATACATTTGTCTCTTCAGATACTGTAATTGAAAAGAAATACACATTAGTAATAATAGACATATGAGAATCAGTGGAGAGAGATCCATCTGGCTACAGTGATCTTTGGCTAAGGCTCCAGTTGCTTTTTTCACATCACATACACATAATGCTTGATTTGAAAAAACAATAGAGGCAAACCCCAACCCCCAGTTTTAACAAATGATTACATAGAGTGAGTCAGGTTTCCCAGTGTGCTGTATTATGCTTAGTTGTTTCAAGAACTCCGTGTTGGAAATTGCTGAATGCTTTAAATGCCAACACTGAAAGCATTGCTCATTTTAGAAAGGCACTGCAGTATTAATTCTGGCTGTCTTTAGGTCCTTAACCTAGATGGCTAAGTTAGTAACCTCGTATCACTGCAGAGGGAGTGGAGAGAGACAGTTGCCTACACCAGACTAAACAGAGCATCTCAAACTCTCAGTTTAACATCAAAGTGAACTGAAGAGAAAAGGGGAAAGGGCTATACAGTGTACAAAGTGCTACCTCACACTGCACAACTAAGGACATATTTACTCCAGACCACCAACTAGGAGAGGAGAATTCCAAAGGCAGAAAGACAGTCCGTCCTGTAACATTAACCACCTGGGAACTACAAACAAAACAGCCTTTTGCAGCTTCAGAATTCTGTGTTTGTTGATTCCTACTAATCAAAGATCAAAACCCAAAACAACCCCCCCTCCTCAAAAAATCAGGGGAAAAATCTGTTTCCTCTGATTTTGTAGTTAGTATTTCTGCATTGGGAAATTTTAGATGTTGATTGCTTGATGCCCAGGCCATGAAAGAAAGACGATCACATCCGATTGTGGTGGTCTGAGAAGTAATTGCTTGCATGAAGTCAAACTTGAGTCATTCTTATCCCTGAAACTCATATTTCTTCAAAAATACTAAGACATATGAATGAGTGATCTGTTTTGACCCTGTTATCACAAATGCTACTTGTTTTTAATAGATGTAATGTTTGGCAGCAATAGCCAAAAGGTTAAAAATTTAAGATAATTATTGTTCTGTATTTATTGTAATGTAGCAGAAGTACCAATTGCAAAGTGTAAGTTGTAAGTGATAGGGACAGCTCTTGCCCAAATTCTTCTGAATCTTCTACTAAACATTTTTACCCTGTCTGGTGGTCTGAAAACTAGATAACACCTTAGAAAAAAACTCTAAGTCTTAGGAAGGAAATAGTTATTTCTGTATAAAAAGTGTATATAAATATGTAGAATACAAAATATTTAGAAATTCTTATAATTTAAAAGACAATTTTTTCTCTGTCTAATGGCCCATTGGAGCCAACAACCAACCAGAAAAGTCACCTTGTTTTAGAAGAATTAAAAAAATACACTTTTTGGAAAATTAATAAAATTGTTTTCTTAATTTTATACTTACGAACAAATATTAATCCGCCAAGAAACATCAGGCCAATGGCAGCGCCGCTAAGTGTAGTAGAAGATGGGGAACG